AACTAAGCTTTCATTTTTCTTATTTATTTTTTTTTAAATACGAGTAAGACATAAGAAGATAGTTTAATCAATTACCAGTGTTTCAGGTGCTGAGTCATTTGAGCTTTTTAAGAACCTAAAAATCACTGTGCCTTGGTAGCAATTTGTTTTTCTTTTTAAGACAGGGTCTTGCTATGTAGTCTAGGCTGGCCTTGGACACACTACAGTTCAGGCAAACTTAAAATGTATGGCAATCCTCCTGTCTCAGCCTCCTGAGTGCTAGGATTATAGGTCTGAGTCACCCTGCCTGGCTGGTAGTACAGACTACTGCATATAGTGGGCATTGGCTGAATCTTTCTATAAAGTACTAGATAGTAAATATTTTAGTCTTTCCCAGGCCACATAAGGTCTCTGTCCTATGTCAGTTTTGTTTTTTACAACCCTTTAAATGCGTAAAATAGTCTTGATGTAGTCTAGATTTGGCTTGGAGGCTGTTTGCCTACATTTGTTCAACAGTTATTTCACCCAAGAGATGAAGGAGCCATGAATAATGTTTCTTGAGTATATGGTAAACCAAAATAGAACCCATTGAGAATATAATACTAGCTTCTACTTTTAAATACTGAATAGGAATAGGAAGAGCCAACAAATAGCAAGTGATTATAGCTGCTACGTATTGGCCCCCCCGCCCCATGCAGCTTTCCTCAAAAACATGTCAGTGAAACTGTTTATATGTGGTCTTTAGTCTGTGTCTTGCTGGAATGGGTATGCTTTTTATTTGTGAATATTTATACTTGAAAACTGGCTTGTTGCTTGTATTTGGTTTTGAATGTTGCTTGTATGTATCACACTAATTTCCTGTTCTACAGATCGAGATAGACAATGGGGATGAGCTGACTGCTGATTTCCTTTATGAGGAAGTGCATCCTAAGCAGCATGCACATAAGCAAAGTTTTGCGAAACCAAAAGGTCCTGCAGGAAAAAGAGGGATACGAAGACTTATTAGGGGTCCAGCTGAAACAGAAGCGACTACTGATTAAGATTGATATATTAAACATTGCAATACTAGTTTTTTAAAATTCAGCTTTTAGTACAGGGAACTGAAATCATTCCATGTCATACAGTAGGGAGAAAAATTGTACTTTCAGAAAAATAGCACTTTTCACTTCTCTGTGTTTTTAAAATTAATGTTATAGAAGACTCATGACTTCTATTTTTGAGTTAAAGCTAGAAAGAGTTTTGACATAGTAATGTTTAATTTTGTCACAGTTTTCAGAGTGTTGATTCCACACTTTCACATGATTCTTAAAATTTTATATAGTTGGGCCAGTTTGAGAAAGTTGAATGTCTTAAATTAGGGTGTATTTCTTATTACTCTTTAGTGAGACATCTGATTTTTTAAAAAAAAAAAAGAAGAAGAAGAAGAAGCAGAAGGACCTTAAATATTTATACTACTTGCTGAATATGTTAAGGACCAGGTTAGGTTATTTTCTAAGCAGAAAATTTAGTGCCTCAGGAAAGATGGAAAGTTAGTTACTTTAAAGAGCAATGCTGACTCTTGTCTGACTGGGATCAGGTCTGCGACTTTTACAAATACTGCTTTATCGCAGCAGTTTTTTAGATTTGACTTTTTTAGAGGTTTTTTTTTTTAAATGGCATTAAGATTTCTTAAGATCAGCTTACCCTGAAACTAGGGTACCAGATATTTTCTATACTGCAGAATTTCTGTTGCCATTGACTTTCAACACTAAGTTATTTCTTCTAGTACTTTAAAAAAGTTTCTTTCCAAAATAAGTCATTTCATTTTAAGTACTGTGAGGCCACATGATTATGTTCAGATTAAAATTTAAATTACCGTTACTCTAAAGGAAACAAAACTAAAATGAAAAATGTTGAAAACATTTCAGATTTTTTTCCTCCAAAACCATTTATAGGCAAATTGAGTTCATCACTTTTTAGTAAATACTCAAATTGAAAATTGACATCCTAGTGGTAAACAGCCTAACACAGATAAATACTTAGCCTATGAATCTTGTTTCATTTAATATCTTATTTCACAACATACTTAATTTTTCTCTAAAGCTTTGCATCTTCATTTACAGCGTAGAGATATTTTGAGCCTCACATTTCTTTGATACTTGAAGTAAGGGAGCGAGAATACTTCATATTTAATCTGTTAAACCTGCTGCAGAGCCATAACTTGGAGGAATTTTCTAAGTGAGCTGTGGGTATCCAGGATTTGGAATTTCTTGACCTAAACTTCATGTTGCATAAAACAAATAGTAGAAATACACATTTCATAGTATAAAACATGAAGCACTCCTGGCTAAACCTTAACATCTAAGGTAATACATGCACCTTTCTGAAATTTCACGTGTATTGAAGTAAAGCATATAATTATGGTTTGCCAGATTTTTAAAAATAGAATTAAGAGTACTTGTGTGGATTTTTGTTTGTTTACAAATAATTAGACTAAACTTCCAGAATAGTTTGTTTACTAAAGATATACTTTGTTTTTTCATGGGTGCACAAATAGATACACACACACGATTATTGCATTAAGAATCCTGGAGCTATGTTGTAGACCATAGCTGAAGCTGTAATTTTCAGTCAGGATGATTACCTGTCGTGAAGATATAAAATAATTTACTAGTGAATGTTTTTCCTGTACGATTCATGTGCAATTGTACTCAAAATTCCACTACACTACATGAAAGTAAATGGACATTCCAGAATATAGATGTGATTATATAATCTTAATTATTAAACCAATGATTGCTGAGAATCAGTGATGCGTTTGTTTTAGAATATAACTCATTGTTTATATTATGTATTAGGTGACACTAGATGATGAATAACATATTCCCAATAAATTTATATAGCAGTCAAAAATTACATGCCTTCTGTGGACATTTTATAAGTATTTTATATCGCAATAAAATTTTTTTCTCTTTAGTACGTTTTGTGCTATTTTTCTAGTATAACTTAATGCTTGGCTAATTTTTCATAATGAAGTACTTGGTGATGTTAGAAATCATATTCATGTGGTCATTTATTAATTAGCTTGCTCACATCATGGCTGCCAGGAAGGACATCCAGGATGCACATTCCTCTCATGCATCTCTAGACTCCAGGATAGACATTTAATAAGTACCGATCCTGGTGGCTTCACTGGTTTTAAGGCTACACATCAGCTGTCTGAAGCAGGGAGGGCTTTATTTGGAGAAAGCACTTAAATGTATACTTCAGAGAGGGAGCGCCTTTTCTCTGAAGTAGTGAGATGTGCTTCTTAAAGCCATTACATAGTAAGTCTGCCCAACTGTCAGTTCCAACTGTTGTGTCAGTTCCAGTGACAGGGATAAGCTTGTTGATGAACCTTGAACCCTGTCTAGGATTTCTTGAGATCTTCCCATCTGACCATCCTTATTAACTGCAGTGAGATCTATGTCTTTGTTTAGAGCAACAATTCTTACGTGTGGTTAAATTCAGACTGTCAGAAATTGTTGCTCCCAAGGAGGCAGATCCCAAGTTAACTGGGCATTGTGAAATATGGCTCTGCACCTTTTTGTCTAATATTTTAATGTGTAAACCTGTAAAAGCAGGGAGTGACCACTGTCCTGTTCAGCTGGAGACCTTGCTGCTGGAGGCTGTTATTTACAGGGTGATTAAGCTGGGAGGTAAGGAATGGAATCAGGACAAGTTAAAAATGCCTCAGAGCTTATTCTTACTGGGTTAAGTCTCTCTTAATTGTGGCCTTTGGTTTCTAATTCTATTTGTTTGATTGCTTTTATGGAAGGGCAAATTTTCAGAGGCCTTTGGCCATTTCCTAGGCCTAAATATTCTTGCAATGGCAGTACTTCCTAAAGCAGAGTGATGATGACATGTTCTGTCCACTGACTCATGAAATAAGAATAGCTGACCCAAGAAAAGTATTAAGGGAAGTGATACTAAGATTTTTTTCCAGCTATGATTCCATTTATCTTTAGGAATACTAACTGATAGCAAAAGTTGTTGTTCTCAAGTGTAGTTGGTACTATGCACCCCCGCCTTCACTGTGCTGGGGATTGAACCTATAAGCCTCCTACTGAATTTCCTTATAAAAGTTCTGTCACTGGAAGGAGCTAGGATACAATCCTTTATTAAATTTTAAGTTCTTAAAAGAAGTGGAACCATTATCTAGAAAGATAAAATCTTAGCTATCAGAATGGTCATGTCAGGAAACTGAACACTGACTAAACATTAACATTAGCTTATTTCGCATAGAACATTAAGAGAAACTTGTAATTAAAATTTTTAAACTGGCTAGTCAATAAAACAATATCAGAAATAGAGAAACGTGGTTGCTCTTTCTAAAAATTGGGTAGGCCAGTGGTTCCCAACTGCTATCATCACTAGTTTACACAATTGTTGGAGGCAACATGAAAGTATCAAAGTTTAAAAAACTGGTTAAATGTGTTTATAAAATCCATTTTTTTTTCTTTTTGGTATTTAAAAATTACAGGGATACATATTTTTAAAAAAATACAACTCTACCTAGCTATCCCCACAGATCCTCCAAGTCTGCCTGATGGAAAACAGTTAAAAGGGGCCTGCACATTGTTTCTCTTCAGCACCTTTGCACAGGTCATGTTCAGTGACAGCCGAGGGCAACCAGTCTTGTTCATTCTCACAGTTTAAAGAATCACACAAGATCAGAGATCCGTGATGATTAGAAACCATCAGGCCAGTGGAAGAAACCACGTAGTTAACATCTGCTTTGGTAGCCTTAATTAATTTACTATATTATTACCTTCAAGAGTTAAGGGTACAGTCTTACCTGTGGGAAGTTAGGCCTAAGATTTATCAATATATCAATTGCATTTGATGAAATGGAAACATCTCAAATTATATCGTGACATTTTGAAAATCAATGAAAGTTTATTTTACAGTGATCAGAATCCATGAAGCTACATGTATGCTATTTTACATACATATTTTTAATAAATTATCAAATTTAACATTACATTATTAATTATATTTAAAATAATTACCAGGTGTTATACACCATACAATGTCTCAAATTGTGTAGGTTCCTGTTGAGATAATTTGAATTGTCATTTTATTATTTGCCTTTTTTTCAATTCCAAGTAGCAAATGTTTCTTTCATGCTTATTTATTTTTTTTGTGTGTACCAGGTATTGAACTCGGGCCCTTGTGCCTATGAGGCAGGGGCCAGAACCACTGAACGAAATCCCTGGCCTTATGCTTAGTTAATTTATAAAGGTCACTAGGAAAATGTTTGATCTTTGTTTCCCAGAAGACTAGGAGAGTCTCAACAGTATGTCATAAAGGATGACCATCTGCTACACCTTGCTTTACACACTTTTGTTCTGGGTTTGAACTGGAAAACCTAATGTCACACTAGTTACCGAATGAGCAAACAAATGCAGACACCAGGCATTCCTTCCACGCATAGCAGATTTTTCTGTCAATTTTCAGGCTTAGGAAATCTCCTCCTTCTGATCACCCAAATGTACAGAATGAATTTTCAAATGATAAAAACCAACTAAGAATTTTAAGCTTAGAAGAAAGTTAAAAATAATTTTTTAAAAACATTTGCCACTACTAGTGTAGGTGTTTTACTCTCTGCAGTGAAAACAGCAAATTACAAAAGACCAACTTGACCTGATCAAAAGCAAAAGCCAGTACACTAAACCTGTTATACTGTAAGCATGATGGGATCACCACAGAAGAATCATCATGGGAGGAGTCTTCTATTGCTGCATAATAAATTACCACAACTTCAGTTGCTTAATGCAACTCATTTATTATTTCACAGTTCAGTATGGCAGAGGTCTTGGCATAGCTCAAGCAAGTCTTTTGCTGAGCATCTCACACAGTAGAAACAGAGTTGTCAGCTGGGATTGTGGTATCATCAGAAAGTTGCAGTATTTTTAGTCCTTTCAGCCTGCTGGCAGGCTTCAGTCCTTGGTTTGTACACCTGAGGCCACATTTGCTTCCTGTTGGCTGGGAGCTAGAGGGTGGCTCTCATCTGCTTGAGGTTCCTGCATGTTTTGGCTGGTGTGGCCCTCTAATACCAGGTTATTCATTACTTCGAGGCCTACAAGAGACTCTCTTGACTTTTCTGATGCCCCCAGACCCATTCCAGTTTGCATTTTGATACTCAAAGTCAGCTGCAAAATTCTTTAAACTTTGCTGTATAATACAGTCTAACAATAGTCATATCATCACTGGAATTTCATCAGAGGATATTTGGTTTGTGGTGAATGTTGAAAATAGTGTGGAAATGATTGCATCTATAAGCTTTAAACACTATCACTTTAATATTTTTAAAATGTTTGTATATTTTGTATTGTTTGTTTTCATCACTGTCAGGGAAGCACAGTGGAAGTTACGTCAGTGTTACAGATGGAAAAACCATGGCTCAAGGTAGCTAAGAGTTTGCCCAAAGTTTTCAGCAAGTTAGTAATGGGGTCAGTTGGGCTTCAGACCAGGGTCTTTCAACTTATAGCCCAGTGCTTTTTCTGCTAATGTTGTAGTTTTCTGTTTGGTGAAGTTTGAAGGAAAAGTCTCAGGGATTCATATGAATCCCAGGTTGACCCTGAGTAGAGCTAACTGTTGATATGAAGGCGCTACTTTCACTTGTTAGAGATTCAATACATGCTGTAATAACCACTGCATTGTCCCGTGCTGCCTTGCTAAAGATAAAGAAGGCTTAGAAAAAAAAGGTGACTTAAAAAATGGTGCAGATAGCTGTATGTAAAAAGTTAAAAGTCTATAGTTTTAGGAAGGTGTTATCTCTTGCAGCTGCTGTTGAACCTTTTAAAAAGAAAGAACAGAACAAACAAAAGAATCATTGCACAGCTGGTTTGAAATGTACAGGAAAAAAGAATGAACCCTCTCCCCTTTGCCTTTTAAATGTGAAAAGTTCATACCTTCTTAATGTCTGGTCTCCTATTTTTCTTTTCATTCAGACATTGACTAGCAACAGAGTACATAGTTTCAAATGAAGTGGAATCAGCATCATTTATCTTCACATCAATATAATCTTCAATTGTCTTTTCTTCATCTTCAATTTCTTCTTTAATATCCAGCTTTAAGTTGTGTGTTAAAACTTTGTTAAAAGTTTCAAATGAAAGTAAAATAAACTACCCTATATTTTTTTACTATAACTTTTAATTATTTAAACTGATCTACTTTATAGTAACATGTACTTTCATGTTAAACTAGTTTAGATGGAAATGATTATTTATGAGAGATACAATATAAACATTCCAAAAACCTTTCCAGAAATTAATCTTTGAAAGTTTTTGGGCAATGACAAAATCTAGTGATATAAAGGCTCATTAAAGAACCCCTCTTAGTGGTATTTGCAGTAAAATCTTATAGTCACATCACGTTCAAACCTTAAGAATGGGTGAAAGAGTATAATCCTCCCTGAAGCTGTATGACTCTTTGCCATTATGAGGAAGTACAAAACTTGTGACTGTGAAAGATTCTGTATTTTTCTTTACTTTATCCTTACTTCAAGCCAAAGTTTTGAGGTATTGACATACTTTGAGGAGAAAAGAATCTTAAGTAATTCCATGGAAAATTTAAGCCTTTATACAGGCAGGGTTTGCCTAAAAAGAAAAATTGTAAGATACTGAAATACTAAGTGCCACTTTTAGCCTTCCCTGCCTCCCCCCAGCCTTTTTTTTGAGTCGGGCTTGCTCTGTAGGGCAGGCTGGCTTTGTAAGTGCAGTGATCCTCCTGCCTCAGGCTCTTGAATGCTGGAATTACAGGCATGCGGCACCATGCCTGGCTTCCTCTTGTATTTTTAATATATATACTTTCTCAATATAACCCAATCTATAGCCAATGCTCTGACAATGTCTGCATATGAATGGTTCAGAAATAGCACCTCATGTGGAACATGTTGGTACATGCCTGTATTCCTAGTGTACTCTAGGAGACTGAGTCAGGAAGACTATAAGATCGAGCCCAACCTGGGTAATTTACATATGTGTGTGCGCACACATACGTGGCATCTCCAGCTCAGGCTTCTCTCCTGACCTTGAAAATAACCAATGGGACAGTGAATTTTATTTCTCTAAAACAGAATTTTACTTTTTTTTTTTTTTAATACCAGGGATTGAACTCAGGACCTTGTACTTTCATGGCAGACATGGCACCACTGAGCTAAATCCCTGACCCAAAATTTTACTTTTTAAATGTGTCACTAAAAATTTAAATATTACTAAAATGGTAATACTATCTTTTACACACATTTTCTAATGTGAAATATATTTTATGTAATATAGCATTATTAAATTTCCAGTATTGAAAGCTTTGTAATATACAGGTTTATAATGAATATTTAATAAAACTACTACAAATAGATATTATACTTATGGTTTCCTCAAAGAAAATGGCACCAGACCCTTGAGTAAGTAAATTATACCTAATTCCAATTCTAGGAACATAATCTGATATATATACAAGCTGCCCCCCTGCATATGTGGCATTGGTTTTTGCATTAGTTCACATAAATTAGAATAAAGTCAGTGTAGATGTTTAACTAATTTTAGGAAAAATTTATACACGATAGTAGATATTTCCATAATTCTTTAATTTTATAACAGTGATTCTCAAAGTTTTTAAAATTTACTGCATGTAAACAAAAGGACAGGGCATAATTTTCCTATTGTTTTACCATTCAGTTATCCTGCTTATAAGTTATCAATGAAATGTCTACTATTTAAAAATTAGGCAGTGTTTTCTATGATAATCTCACAAATAAGGTACTCCAAAATAGAATTAGAGAACTTTTGCTAGTAATTCTATTCTGACACAAATTTGAATGGAAGTCATGATTTTTTCTTTCTGAGCTCAAAATACTATACTGTTGGTAACCCACTCTAAAAATAACAAAATCTGAGTGGACCTCAGAAATCCTTTAGTTCTGGTCTCATTTTACTTAAAGAAATTATACTATATATGTGTGTGTGTGTATATATGTGTGTGTGTGTGTGTGTGTGTGTGTATAAATAAAATTAGACATATATATATATATATA